ACTGGGCTCTGAAATCTTCTTGCCTTGGCCTTTTTGTTTTATTTAAAAATTTTTTATCCTCACCTGAGGATATTTTTCCATTGATTTTCAGAGAGAGTGGAAGAGAGTGGGACAGAAATATCGATGTTAGAGAGACACATCAATTGGTTGCCTCCTGCACACAGCTAACCAGGGCCAGGGGCCCAGGAGAAACCTGCAACCAAGGAACTGCCCTTAACTGGAATCGAACCAGGGATCCTTCAGTCTGCAAGACAACACTCCATCCACTGAGCCAAACCAACTAAGGCTACCTCTGCCCTTTTAGTTGACCAAAAAGATCCCACAACTCTCAGACCCATCATTCACACTTTCCAGGGGAGAAAAAAACCCTGTGACAACAAACAGAACTGGAGAGAAACAATATAATAATCAAAATGGCAAAAGTGCAGAGATAATATAAGACCTAGATGATCTGCAAAAGCAAACCTTAATAATGATCCTACAAATACATCAATTAATAGAAGAAATGCAGCAATCAAAAACCACAGAGTGTGCAGGATGATGCTGACGAGTTCCTGATTAGAAGGTGATATGATTTAAGTGTTCAGGATTTCCAGCTCTTTCCACAGGAATGTGCACAGTAGGAGTTTTGTAAGGTTGCTAAGCAATGCCTGGCAACCAGACTCTGGGGTGAATCACTCATTAGGAATCTTTGATAACTCTAGTAAGGGAATCATTTTAGTTCACAACAGTCAAATTTTAGAAAACCTTAATAACTCATGAGTTACAATAACTAGTAAGTTGTCTTTAACCATGCATAAAAATACAAATCTATGATTGCCCATCTTTCATTGTAACAACTAAAAGAGACTTTTTCTTTTTTTAGAGAAATCATTCACTTAGTTGACACATATTTGTTGAAAACCTACTATGTGCCAGGGACCTTTCTAGACACTACAGCAGACACTAGAGAACCATAAATGGAAAACCATTAATGCTATTCTAGAATTCTATCAGGAAAACGAGGCTCAGAGAGGTAAAGCAATCTGTTCAGAGTTGCAAAGCACTGTGCATCCCTGAAAGGCCACCTGGCCGTGTTTGGCTCACCGTGATTCACCAGCGTGCCCCTGGCCCTCTGAGCTGGCCCTGAGGGCTGGGAATGCCAGGACACAGGGCTTGGCTGTTGAGCATCTTGGAAAGTCTCCCACTTGACCTTGGGACCTCTGTGGTCAAGTGAGGGAAAGCCTATGACACAGTGTGGGTTTTTATTGGACCCAACCACTGGCGAAGCTTGCCGTCATCTGGAGTGATGGAGAAAATTAAGTTACCACATTCTCACGTTTCAGCCTTTCGCCCGTTTTCCTTCGCAAACAGGAAATGTTTATTTAAATACAGCAGTCTCCAGCATGTTCCGGAGCCAAGTGAAAAACCAAAGATGTCCACTCTTGCCCCGCTCAACTATTCAGGCCACCACCTCGCTGTGGGTGCGAAGAGGGCCTCTGCCTGCCTTTAGGCAGGATGGGGAGAGGGGGCCCCACGTGAGAATTCATTTTCATCTGTCTCCTCTCTTCCAGGCCGAGATTGTGGTTGGAGAAGAATTACATCTGTGAGCTCCTTTTGTGCTCAGAAGGGTAAATGCAACATCTGTTTACTCTGTGCTCCATGGTAAATGTTTTGTTTCAGGCACCACCATTCACTTCCTCTCCTCCTGTCCTCTATCTTTGCTACACGGATAATAAATTACATTGAATTCCCCTCTGCGTTTATTTAACTTTCTTGTGGGTGTCACCTCCTCGTTGAGGGGGAAAAATTGTCAGTAGTTTATAAACGACAAAGAGTTTCTCTTTCTGTGAGATGTACTGACATTAGGGAGAAGGAGCTGGAACATAGACCCCCAACTCTGATAGCAGCTTAATTACGAACAATTCAACAGGCCCCATTGCAGGCCTGAAGCAAAGTCCAAATGGTGACCACATTATCCTCACACAGGTTTTCTTTAATGGTGTACCACAAGCAGACAAGGCCTCAGAATTAAAAATTACCCAGAGAACAAAGCACAAGTGTGCGTGCGTGCACGTGGGTACACACACACACACACGCACACGCACACACACACAATTCAGCTCTATCAGATAAAAGTTGGAATAAACT